AGATTGAATATGAAGGTAATTGTAGAAGCAAAATAAGTAATATATTCCTTTAAGATTTGCTTTTCTCACTGCTCTTGATGTTTAAGGTGTTAACCTGTAATTTAATTGTAGATAACGTTTTAAGCTAACAAAGTTGCAAATGCCTAAGTGAATTTACAATGTATATGTGCCTATCTTGTGTCTGTGACTTGTAGGTAGGAACCGGCATTGTATTTACACATCAAAGACCACTAGGAAGGAGATAATGACTAAAGAAAAGTATAAAGAGAAGAGACTAACAAAAGGGGTGGGGGAGTCTGAAGGGACCAGTTTCTGGCAGTCCCTGCGGCTTGCAAGTAACCCTTATTTATTTTACCTGAGTTCTGTGTCTCTGAGCATTTCTTTCTGAGATTTCCGTACCAATAGGACAGTGAGGGTAGAAGAGCAGAATTTAGGCACTTTACTTTAGGTGACCAGAATGGTCACTTGCCTATCAGACAACTGATCATCAGGAATGCCATCTACAAAATGAGTGAGATAAGGACTTTTCTAAGTGCTGGGGTCGTTAGTCACCTGGGAGTATTTAAAATCTGGTGCCTAAGATTCTTCCTCAGATTTTGCTTCAATTGGTCTGAGTGGCAAGGAGACATCCCTAGGTCTTGCCAGTTCAAAGAGAGGTGAAGGGATAGGACTAGGTTCATATCATTATCCATGATTTATGACACACATTAAAACACAAGTTCTCTCAACCACTGCCCACAACTCAATTGACTGCACTGAACAAGTGGAAACTTGGTACATGCTGTTACTAAGGTACAACACTCCACTTCTCACATGGAAGATCCCTGCTGTTCCTTTGGATGGCACTTGGTAGCAGCAATCAACATATGTTACTATAACAACTAGCAATTTGGCTTACAATTTCAGAAGTTTCAGTCCATGGATGGCTGGCTCCAAGGCAGAAACATCATGGTGGAAGGGTATAGTGGAACAAATTCCTATGATGGACACAAAGCAGAGCACAGGGGAAAGGTATACCACAGAGGAAGGAGCCAGGGATCAGATATGCTACCCAAAGTCATGCCCTCATAATGCATTTCTTCCAACTAGGCCCACTTTCTTTTTCATTCATTCATTCATTCATTCATTCATTCATTGGGGTAGGGTCTCCTTATGTAGTTCGGACTAGACTTAAACTCATTATGTAGCCCAGGCTGGCCTTGATCTTTCAGTGATCTGCCCGCCTTGCTCACCTGAGTGATTGGATTACAGGTGTGCATTACCATGCCCGACCATCTTCTGGAGTTTTAAAATCCAGTTGACAAGTGTGAGACCAAAGCGACTCCATTTTGCTAAAATCCACTGTTCCCCTAGTCTTTCACAAATTAATGGTTAAAATGTGCTTGCTTTGGGACAAAAGATACAATCTGTAACGAAACAAAGTTCCTGAGTTAATTACTCAGCCATCTGTTTGCCCAGGAAATGAATGTTCTGGGCCCACTATCCATAGAACAATCTGTAGATGTGCTGACTGTCAGTTCGTAATGGTAGTGACTAATAGTCAGTTTGTCTGCTGACCATCAGTACGTGACAGTCAGCCACCAACCTTTGTCCCTCTTTTCCCTCGTAAAACCTACATGTAGTCACCCCTCAACCTCCGATGCACCTAGCCAATCAGAAATGTACACTTCATGCTTGCTAATTGTCAACCAATCATGTAACTGCTAAGTGGAAAATCTCCAAACCTTGCTGTAACCTCTATAAAAACCCCGCTGATTTGAAATTCGGGCTCTCAATCTCGACCTGCTGCGTCGGTGACAGTTGAGAGTCCCTGCTCGAGCTTGAATAAATGACCCTCGTGTGTTTGCATCGGAATCGGCTCCTTGGTGTTCTTTGGGGACTTTGCGATCTGGGCACAATACAAGATTAGCCAGAAAAACTCTGAAATCTCATGAAATGAACCATGATATGAAACCAGGTTAATTTTACTGCCCATTTTTGCCAAAATCTCATTAGCCTTTATACTCTATGTTTAAAATGATATGGCCTGCAAGAACGTGAGGACTATAGACTTACCTGTAGTTTATAAAACGCTCTTGCATGAATTTTAAAAAATTAAATGAGATGGAAAGTGTTGTACCCAGTGAGAAAGAACCACCCAGAGACTGATATTAAATCCACACAGGGGGGCCGGCGATTTAGCTCAGTGGTTCCAGCACCTGCCTCGCAAGCGCAAGGTCCCGAGTTCGATCCCTGGTAGCAAAAAAAAAAAAAAATCCACACAGGAGTTTATTACCGGCCAGGACCTGAGCTGAGCATTGGACTTGAGACCTGACTGGGGGAGAATAACATATTTTATACACCTTTGAGGCCAGCAGTTTCTAGGCTCCCCTATGGGATAGAACTAGCAAAGCAAGCAAAAGGTAAGGAAGCAGAACATCCTGTCATTAGAACATTTGTAAAACAATAGTTAATTAATTGTTGTTTCTAAGAGACTAAGGGGAGGAGGTTTCTAAGCTTCCTCCTTCTGAGTTCATCTAAAGGGCAGGCAGGTGGATCAAGCAGCAATATGGAGTCTGTCTGGCTAACTAGGGTCCTTCATGATAGGTCTCCCACTACCTCAGCAGCTATTATGTATAGTAGCTGCCCTCTTCCTATGGTGCCTTGCCCCCTCCCCTGTGTGACGTCATGCCAAGGTGGTTGCTCCCACCAAAGAACAAACCCTTCTTCCCAGCATGCCCCTGGTCCCACTGTAAGACTGAAGCCCTTACCAAACGCTCTGAGGAGCTGACTGCAGTGAAGAACACCCAGAAAGGAACACACCGGACAAGTTGGAAAATAAAACAGACCTTTATTAGTCTGGCCAGACGGCACTCCCAAAGCAAAATAGCTTAGAGAGACAACTGGCTCAGAGTCCGAGGCTGTTCTTATAGCGGGTTGAGGGGGAAGTTAACATATAGAATTAAAGAAAAGGGGACAAAGGTTAGTGGTTGACTGTCACATACTGATGGTCAGCAGACATTTGTAGCTTGTTCTATAGATTGTGGTGTCCGGAACATCAGTTCCGGGCAAACAAGGAGTTGAATAGTTTAATTTGGGACTTTAGGTCTGTTACAGATCTTTATCTAGTGTCCCAAAACTAACAAGCATCTTTATCCATTAACTCACATTTAATCACAATGGGGCTGGAGAAAATGAACAAAGGTTATACAGTCCCACACCACCTAGAGAGTAACCTAATATTCGCTCACCTCCTACCACCTAGTGATGTCACTGGCTCCTCCATTCCCTAGTCACTACCTCACTCAACCCCGCCTCAGCCCCTACAAACCACCCCCCCCGCCCCCGTCTCTATAAAAGACTCTCCCTGCCCCGGCCATATTGCTTTTGTCTCTCCTTTGTTCAGAGACAGCCCGGCAGATCTGTTCCCCTAATAAAGGCTTGTTGTGGCCTGGTCTGGTCTTGGTTTTCGGCCCTTTTACCTGACATTTCATTCCCAATTGGTTCTTGTAACTTAATCAAATCTTTGATTTCTCTATTTATTTTTCAGATTCTTCCTCTAAAACATCTTCTAAAATCTCATAATTTTGTCTCAGCAACCATCAGTTTAACTGCATCAACCCTCTGTCTAACATATTTAGTCAGAGCATTTATAATACAAGGTCCCGCAAGGAAAAGCAGAAGATAACTAAGGGGCCTGCTACAGCAGAAAGTAGGGTAGTTAACCATGGGGACCAGTCAAATAGATTTTGAAACCAATTTTGATCCCTTTGTTGAGCATATTTAGTCTTTAAATTTTCCCTGACCATAGCTAAGGTATCTCTAATGACACCAGACTGATGAGCATAGAAGCAACAGGTTTCTCCTAGGGCTACACATAATTCTCCCTGTTTTATGAACAGGAGGTCATGTCCCCTTTGATTTTGCAGGACCATCTCAGCTAGGGAATCAACTTGGTTTTTTAATCTGGAGATTGAGTCTTTCAGGTGACCCAAATCTCTGGCTACTTGGTGGCTTAGGGCTTTAAAATTTGTGTCCTGAGGATCAGGGAGGAAGTTCCAATAGCTGCTGACCTGGCTATTCTTAATCCTACCAGAATGGGCACTAAAACGGGTGCAGCCCATTTACTCCTAGTGTTCAGTGGTTAATCCCAGATGTTTGCGGCCCCCTTTTCCATTATAATACAAGACTTGTGGAACAACATACACAGTGACACAAAATAAAGTGGCAGATTGGGTAGCCAAGACTGATTTGGGTATACACTTAGTCAAGCCCTCAGTACAAGCAAACCAGGCATCTTCTGGAGCCTTATAATAACGGGGGCCTGAGGCAGGGTGACTATTATAACTATTATTACATAGATCTCTATAAGGTGATGTATCCATACTGTAATTTGTTCCTATTAGGCAGGTTCCTTTTCCTTGGATGTCCCCCAAGGTGAGGCAAGGGTGGCTCCAATCACAACCTGTTGAGGGGGACAAATCTGGCATGGCCACGAGCCCCAACCCCAAATAATATGGGGGCTTGGGGTCGAGGCAGAGCCAACAATCTTTAGCTTCCTCAGGCCTGGATTTGTTGAGGAATAAATGGACACTCATCAACATTTCCAGCACTAGAGTGGGGGTTTTATCTTGTGGTATAGTTGGAAGAGTGGGGGGTTCTGGTTTTTGAGCAGGCGAGGGCACAGGCTTAGACCTTGCTATGGGGATAGGTAGAGAAAAGTCCTTGCTGGGCCCTATAGGTTGCTCAACCTGCTGGTGACCTTGCTGGATGGTAAATTCCAACCCAGAATCCCACCAAGATACATATAATCTAATTCCCCATGTCCTTCCAGTTACCAGGATCTTCCAATCTTTGGGGTGTAATGGTAATCGGATAACATGCCAGTATCACAGGTTTTATCATGATCTACAGTGGTGGTAGACATTTTTAACCAGGGATCTGTAATTTGAATGGACCAAGGAGCTATAGTCTCACATCCCCATTGTGCACAATGATAGTCATTGCCATTACCATCACAATATGCATCTTCATTTTCTGGATATACATAATATTGGACAGGATGGAGTCCCCATTTAGTGAGAGTACAGCATCCAGATTTTGCACAGCCCCTGTTCCCATAATACGAGGCCTCCTCAACCATATGACATAAGCTAGCAGTAAAGGTGACCTCGGATTGGTCGGGTCCTCTTTCTATTTTTGCCAGGATTTTCCCACTAGAAGTTAGTCTTAATTCCCAAGTTTCTGAACAGGGAAGGAACAAGTTATTTGTTCCCCCAAGCTGACATGATTGATAGAGAATATATACCAGGAGCACTAGTCTTCTTTTCCCAATTTTAACTTTAAGTCTCCTGGGGCACTTAGGATCTTCCATTGTGCTGGCTCTGGGCTCTCTGCTGGTGCTGACTTGACTTGGGTGTCACGAATCCAAGCTGTGACCCCGGCTACTTTGACCATGGAGGGGGTTACCAAAATAACAGGGTATGGCCCCTTCCAACGTGGCTCAAGGTTCTTAGTCTGATGTCGGCATATTAGGACCAGGTCTCCTGGCTTGAAACCATGGGACTGGAATGTCATAAAGGATTTTTCTTGAGCTTATTGTATTGTAGCCTGGATCTCACTCTGAAGAATCTGTAAGGCTTGAAGAGACTGAAGTAAAGAGACACAAGAACTCTCTGTTATCTGTTCAAGGTTTAACTTAGGGAGGAGTGGTGGCAGCCTCCCATACAAGATTTTAAAAGGGGTAAACTTGTCACATATGGGGTACATCTAACTCTTAACAAGGCTAGAGGAAGCATATCAGGCCACCTACTGCCAGTTTCTAGAACATATTTAGTCAGGATTTCTTTTAGGGTTTTATTTATCCTTTCCATTTGCCCTGAACTTTGTGAGCGATAGGCACAGTGTAACTTCTAATTGATATGTAGTGCCCTTGCCAACAATTTGGATATCTGTGCCGCGAAGGCAGGCCCATTGTCAGACCCCAGGTAATGAGGGATGCCAAATCGGGGAACTACCTCCTGGAGCAAAACCTTAGTCACTATGTTGGCTGATTCTCCATGAGTGGGGAAAGCTTCTACCCAACCTGAGTAGGTGCCAACCAATACCAGTAAGTATTTGAACCTATTGCTGGATTTTATTTCAGTGAAATCAAGTTCTCAATGTTCCCCTGGCTCTCTTCCCCATAGTCGATTACCTTCGCTCCTTGGTCTCACCTTGGAGTTTACCTGTGCACACACTTGACATCTGGAACTGATGTCCTGGACCATAGAGGTCAGTCCTGGGATTGAAAATTTAGAGCTCATTAGTCTTTTTAACTTTGATTCTCCCAGGTGAGTTAAGTGATGTCACTGGTGAACAAGTTGTCGCCCCAAGGCTCGGGGGAGACAAATTTGTTTGTCCCTTTCCACCAGCCTGAGTCCAATTTTGTAGCCCCTCACTTTTGATTTTCCTCTTCCTCTTCCAGGGTATATGTGGGCTTTTCTGGCAGGTAGCTAAATGGTTGGATGGGCAGAATGTCTATTGGCCCCACTGGTTCTTTGGCCACTTGTCAGGCCGCATCATCAGCCTCTCGGTTACCTCAGGCCTTGAAGCTGTCTCCTTTTTGGTGGCTTTTACAATGAATAATGGCCAATGCCCTGGGTTCCCAAATTGCCTCCAATAAGGCCAAAATTTCTTCTTTATTTTTAATAGTTTTCCCTTCTGATGTCAATACCCCTCTCTGCCTGTAGATGTCGCCATGCACATGGGCAGTGGGAATGCATACCGTCTGTCAGTGTAGATGTTTACAGCCTTGTCTTGACCTAACCTCAGGGCTTGAGTTAAAGCTATTAGTTCAGCCCTCTGTGCCAATGCCCCCCGGTTTAATGCCTGTGCCCAGTGCACCTGTCCTCCTGGACTGAGTATGGCCACCCCTGCATACCTGACTCCATCTTCAACGAAGCTGCTTCCATCGGTGAAGAAGGTCTCATCTGGGCTTTGCAGGGGAATGTCAGTCAGGTCTGGGCGGTTGGTGGTAGAAGTTGTCAGAGTGTCCAGACAGTCATGGAGGGGCTTGCACAGGTCAGAGTCTGGGAATAAGGTGGCTGGATTAAGGGCCGTCTCTCGGGTGAATTTGATACATGGAGCATCTAGCAACAGGGCCTGATACTGAGTCAGGTGAGCATTGGAGATCCATCATTCTGGGGGTCCTCTCAGAAATGTCTCCACCGCATGGGGTGTGGTGATGACCAGGTCCTGTCCCAGGCTGAGCTTATCTGCCTCCTTAACCAGGAGGGCGGTGGCTGCAACTGCCCTCCTACAGGTAGGCCATCCACTTGCCACAGAATCAAGTCTTTTAGACAAATAGGCCACAGGTCTGTTCCAAGGCCCTAATGCCTGAGCTGGCACTCCTTTGGCTATGCCCCCTTGTTCAACCACAAAGAACCGAAAGGGCTTGGTGACATCAGGTAGGGCCAGGGCTGGTGCTGACACTAAGGCTTTCTTTAAAGCCAAAAAGGCAGCTTTCTCCTTTTCTGTCCACACTAGAGGAGTGCCCCCCCCCCCCCATGGTGGCTGAGGAAAGCGGTTTGGCAATCTCAGCAAAACCCAGGATCCACAGCCTGCAATATCCCACCGTCCCTAAAAATTTTCGCATTTGTCTCTTAGTGGTAGGCGGGGGGATTTGTAGGACAGCCTGTATCCTCTGAGGAGAAAGCAGTCTGTTTCCTTTAGTGAGCTGGTAGCCTAAGTATGTGGCCTTAGTTACAGATAATTGGGCCTTCTTGGCTGAGACCTGGTAACCTAGTTGTTCCAACAACTTTAAAAGATCTCGGGTAGCTTTTTGACACATGTCTGTGTCTTTTGCTGCAATCAACAGGTTATCTACATACTGTAGTAGGGTCACCTCTAGGTGGGTGGCTTGAAACGGGGACAAGTCTCTGTTCAGGGCTTCATCAAAGAGGGTTGGGGAGTTCTTAAAACCCTGTGGTAATCTAGTCCAAGTCAATTGACCAGAGTAGCAGCTGTCTGGGTCCACCCATTCAAAGGCAAATAAGGGCTGGCTTACCTTAGCCAATGGGATACTGAAGAAGGCATCCTTGAGATCCAGAACGGTGTAGACCTGTCTCTCTGGGGGAATTAAGCTCAGCAATGTGTAAGGATTTGGGACCATGGGGTGAATGGTTTCCACTCTCTTATTGACTTCTCTCAAGTCCTGGACTGGTCAGAAGTCATCTGTGCCTGGTTTCTGGACTGGAAGGAAAGGGGTGTTCCAGGGAGACTTACATGGCACAAGGATTCCAGCAGCCAGAAGCCTCTCGATGTGAATCTGGATTTTCTCTTTGGCCTTTTGTCTGATTGGATATTGTTTTACTGCAATTGGAGTCATGGTGGCATGTAGAGTGACCATTACTGGGGGTTGATGGGTGGCCAGTCCTGGGGGGTTAGTCTCTACCCATACTCTAGGACACAAGCTGGTCAATTCCTGAAGAAATTGAGAGTCTGGGGTTTTTGAGTCCATAGGTATAATATCAGGGAGCAACAAATATTCTTCTGATAGGGGGCAAGTAACAAGAATTTTGGCAGGTTTGTTACCAATTGAAAGACTAGCATGTTGGCCCTGAAAGAATATTGTAGCTCCTAACTTTTTGAGTAAATCCCTTCCAAGCAATGGGTATGGGCAATCCAGGATCACAAGGAATGAGTGTGTCACTCTGTGGCACCCAAGGTCCACTGTCCTTTCTGTAGTCCAAGGGAAACCTGTAGTAGCAGTCCCAGTGGCTCCCTGAACAAAAGTTTTTCTTTTTGTTATTGCCCCTAGTGGTTGGGTCAAAACCGAATGTGCTGCTCCTGTATCGACCAGGAAATTTATAATTTTGCCCCCTACTTTGGCTTTTACCTTGAGCTCATGGGGGCTTAACAGATAAGAGCCCTGACCCCCCTAGTCCTCTTCTTCCTGTATCACCAAAACCTCCAGTTTGTCCTTCTTGGAGGGGGCTCCTTTATCCTCATAGGGACACTCATTTTTCCAATGTCCCATCCTCTTGCATTTAGCACACTGGTTCTTCCCCAAGGGGGGATGGTGTGAGTCCCGAGGGGCTTTCCCCTCCTTCTGTCCAGAGGAACTGTCTCTTGTGCCTGGAGTGCAGCAATAGTGACTTTCCCCAGTTTCTTGGCTAGGACTTCCTCGGGGGTGTCACAGTTATCATAAACTTGCTGAGCTATGCTCAGGAGTTCAGCCTTATTCTTTCCCTCAAATCCCTCCAATTTTTGTAATTTTTTTTTCTAATGTCTGGGGCCAACTGGGAAACAAAGGCCAAATTTAAAGCTGCTGCATTTTTGGGCACCTCTGGGTCAATAGGAGTGAAAACTCTATAGGCTTCCAAGAGTCTCTCCAAAAATGCAGCCGGAGACTCCATTTATCCCTGGTGAACCTCACTTACCTTACTCAAATTAGTGGGCTTTCTGGCCACTGTCTGGAGTCCCCCTAATAAGTGCTGGTGGTAGGTCCCCAGCCTCCTTCTACCATCATCGTCATTGGGGTCCCATTTGGGGCATTGCGACAGAACCACTGTTTCAGCCCTGGCTGAATACCCCAGAGTTCTGGGAGTGACGCCGGGGTTTGGCCCCAGGGCCTCTTTGACTGGCTGTTGATAAATGCAGTCCCGCTCCTCAGTGGTGAAGAGGATCTGTAAAAGCTGCTGGTAGTCATCCCAAGTTGGCTGATGGGTATGAAAAACAGACTCAAGAAGAGAGATTAACGCCTGAGGTTTTTCAGAGAAGGGGGGATTTTGATGTTTCCAATTGTAAAGATCACTAGTTGTAAAAGGGACATAAATCAGTCCTCCCCCGGGCTCTGTTTGTTTCAAAGGAAAAAGAGAGGAGGAAGATGGGACCGATGGACCGTAGTCCTGTCCCGATCAAGTATGGGGAGGTGAGCGGATCTGGTCCAAGGAGGAGCCGGGAACGGGAAGGCCTGTAGCGGGAGATTCAGGGCCCCTCTCCTGGGCGCTGACTCCACTCACATGATAAGGGAGAGGTCGGCACAAATTGTCCTCAGGGTCAGACTGGAGAACACCTTTACTGGTTGACAGAGCCATCAGAGAGGGGCTCTATTCCAGTGGGTTTCGATTTCCCCTTCTCCTCCAATTTAGGGTTGCCAAAGGTCAATAGGGACCTGTACATCGTATAAAACATTTAGGAGGATCCTCCAGCATATTGATCCAAATGTTGATATATGGGAATTGATCCAGATGCTGTGGGGCCCCGACTCCTGTGACCACATTCCAAACTTTGTGAGCAATAGGCATGGAATAAGTTCCCACCAGGGACCAACTGACCCTGAAACTTGGCCATTCTGATTGACACAGAGTTTGCAATTTGCCTTTAGAAAATTTTATGCCATATTCATCTTCTCTGTCTCTGGAATAAATTTTTTTGAAGTTATTCAAGACACAATCAAGTGGAGTTCCTTCCATGGACTGTGAGGAACCCATAATTTTAGCCTGTGAAAACGCAAAAGGCACACAAAGCAAGCAGACAGACAGACAACAATAAACAAAGACAAATGTTGGCCAAGTAAAACCTCTGGGGCCCAATGGATTTGGACCCCACCCAGAGAGTCGCTCTTCTGAGGACTCTGGCCCAGTTGAGTCTGCTTGCTGCCACAAAGAGACTCTAGGTAGGGGAACCTGTGCTGCACCCAGCTTCCTCCTACCTACCCACAGTGCACCAAGAATCATTTGATTCTTACCTCTAGAGGCTTTCCCGATATACTCCTGCGGGTTGGTTGATCAGCGATAGGGCCGGACTGGGACTGGTCTACCCAGAGCCCTGGAATACCGTCAGGGTGGCCTCTCTTTCCGCAGACTGGTGTCCAGAGGGGCCAAACACCGCTGATGTCTGATCCTGGTCTCTCCTAAAAAGAAACAAAGGCTCCAAGAGAATAAGCTCCAGAGCAGCTGGCCATCTCTCTGGGGCCTCCAAGAATGTTGCACCCAGTGAGAGAGAACCAACCAGAGACCGACATTAAATCCACACAGGAGTTTATTACCGGCGAGGACTCAAGCCAAGCATCGGACTCGAGTCCCCGACTAGGGGGAGACAAACATGTTTTATACACCTTTGAGGCCAGCAGTTTCTAGGGCCCCCTATGGGATAGAACTAGTAAAGCAAGCGAAAAGTACAGAAGCAGAACGTCCTGCTGTTAGAACATTTGTAAAACAATAGTTGATTGTTGTTTCTAAGAGACTCTAAGGGGAGGAGGTTTCTAAGCTTCCTCCTTTTGAGTTCATCTAAAGGGCAGGCAGGTGGGTCAAGCAGCAATGTGGAGTCTGTCTTGCTAACTAGGATCCTTCAGAAAAAAATAAATGAGCTGAAATGTATACAAGTCTTCATTATGCTAGATTTATTACTTAGGATTCTACTTGCTAGTTTGGAATTTTTGTATGTTATGTTTTAAAGAACATCACTAGTGACTGCAAAGAGGTGCCTTTGGTTTATCTTCCTGTATCAGTATATGTGAAGATCTGGTGGTGATGATGACAAATATAATAGCCTCCTTATGTTTAACACTTTGCACCAGTTAAGCACCTTTCAAGTCACTTTCCATGAGGTAAGTTGCAGTAGTTTTAATTTGAGCCACTGGACTGTGCTTTTTTTTTGGTACCGGGGATCAAGCTCGGGACCTTGTGCTCGTGAGGCAGGCGGTGGAACCACTGAGCTAAATCCCCGGCCGCTGTTTGTTTGTTCTTGACTTTTAAAGAGCTTCAGTTCTCACCCTTGCGGTAAGTCCCCACCCCCAGGAATTCTTGGCCAGAAGGTGGAGGCTGGGGCCAGAGAATTGTATTTTGATGTTTGCAGTGATGCTAATGCTGCGAAAGTAGTGTCAGGTAAAAGGCCCAAGACCAAGACCAGACCGGGCCACAACAAGCCTTTATTAGGGGAATAGATCTGCCAGGCTGTCTCTGAACAAAGAAGAGACAGAAGCAATATGGCCGGGGCAGGGAGAGTCTTTTATAGAGACTGGGCGGGGGGGGGGGGGTTGTAGAGCGGGGGTTGAGTGAGGTAGTGACTAGGGAATGGAGGAGCCGGTGACGTCACTAGGTGTAGGAGGTGAGCGAGTATTATTAGGTTACTCTCTAGGAGGGAACAGGGGCTGGGAAGAAGGGTTTATTCTTTGGTGGGCGCAACCACCTTGGCATGATGTCACACAGGGGAGGGGGCAAGACACCATAGGAAGAGGGCAGCTACCATACATAATAGCTGCTGAGGTAGTGGGAGACCTATCAAGTAGGGGCCCAAATTTTGGAATCAATAAATTAGAGGGATGTTTAACGTTACTATACAAAAGCCCCACATCTTTTTCCGCAGGTAAGATTTTAAATTTCTCTCCCGAAGCTGAGAGAGATAAAGTAAGAGTCCTGCTGGAGATTTCTGAGGCATAGCATTGTCTCAAGTAACCAGGAAATCCGGTGAATCCCCTATAAGAGGAACTTGGTGCTCCAACATGGTATTTCATTAGCTCTTTTTCTTTTTCTGCTTTCTCGGAGATCCGGAAGGTGGGAGGGTGGGCGACCTGGATAACCAGTAGGTTACTCACCGCTTGGGTAAACGTTAAGCAACCAACTACATTACCCAGAACTCTGTGCGGAGGCTATTAGCCAGTCATAGCACAGATCTTGGCATTTCCAGTTTCTCTTGGAGGAAGGGGAGGGACTTCCGGCGTGGGGCTTGGGACGTTTTCGTCTGCGTCGAGTCTGTCTGCACCGGCCAGGAACCCCTGGTTACCAGGTTGGGTCCCTTGCTGCCCAGCTCCTGTGAGCCTGGAGGCAAGGACAGTAAGAGACAGGCTCTTTCTCCGTGTGTGTGTGTGTGTGTGTGTGTGTGTGTGTGTGTGGCCCGGGACCTCCGCTGCAGCAGGGTGACCTCGCGGGGTCGTGTCCACCAGGCTGCGCTTTTCCCGAGGCCTGTGCACCTGTCCTCTGCACTTCTCCCACGCCGAAGGAAGAGTGGGGTTCGATCGAGCCCTCGAGGAACATCCCGTGGACCTCTGCTTTTCACCTCTGGTTCCACCTCTGATGGCGACCGCGAGGATGGACCGGGCTCAGGTGAGTAGAAGGTCCTTCCGGCCCTCACTGTCCCAGACGTAGGGATTCGTGTGTGCTGGGTGCTTCGCCTTCTTCCTTTTCTCCTTGAGTATAAACTTCGAGGGAAGTCAGTGGACTATCAGTGAGTGGAGAAGTTCGAATTTCTAGGATCCATGGGACGAGATGTGGAGGAGCTTCCAGGGCACAAATGTATAAATCCTTGGCCATTGGAATGAATTAGGAGTGTTACAGGTGCTGGCATTCTCTAGTCTGATGAGAAAAGAAAACAGTGGTTCATGGTCTGGCCTATAACTGACCTAAAAAGCTGAGGTTTACTTCTGAGGGTGATGGGAGCCATGAAAGGTTCACTAGAGAGATGGAGATGCTCAGACACATCTAATAGGATTTCTTAATAGGAATTAATGGGGTTAATTTCTATTAATAGGAACTCTTAATAGGATTCTTAATAGGATTTCCTATTCTTAATAAGATAGCTGTGAATAGGATTTCACTGGCTGCAGAGTGGGGATACTGGGAGTTTTGGCTGTGGGTATAGAGGAAAGAGTCTACTGCTCAGTGCTGATGATGGGTGGCCAGTTGTGGAAGTGAAACGAATGTATTTTATATGGTCTTTAAGTAGGCTTACCAGATTTTCTGAGGAGACCTTGTTATTCAGGCACTCACAGACTGAAGGTTCTCTCTCCATCTGAGTCTGGGGGTCTACAGAGAGGGTCTCTTCAAGCTCAGTGTCCTGAGTCCAGGGCAGAGTTATAGGGAGTAGTTCCCTTTCTTGGCTCCCATGGATGAGGAATGCAAGGGTTCATTAGCCCTAGGAACTGACATGTGTAAATGCTTGTAGGTAAGATGGCGTTTGGGGTGTGGAACCAGAAGTCTTAATTTTGTCTGTGGGAAGCAGAGCAGGGATAGATATTAGGCAGGAATGGCAGATTGGAAAGCAGAGCCTATATTCTGAGTGTGGTGAAAATGATGGAAGATTTGGAGCAGAGGAGGGAGATGATTTGATTCCAATATTAAAAGTCTTCCCTGGCTCTGAGGTTGAGAATGGACTGTGGACATTGGCAAGGAACCTACTACAATATTGTTGTTCTAGTCTGTCTCCACCACCAGAGGTGTGATATGGAAATAATAGAAATTTAATTTCCTTTTTTCAAGTGGGGTGACCATATTTTGTGACATAATGGGGAAAATGTGAAGAACTGTGGATGACTCCAAGGGTTTTTTTGTTTGTGTGTTTATTTGTAGTGCTTTAACTGTTAGAATGATGGAAGTGCCATCAACTGAGATGGACAAGTTCCTGGCTGGAATGGTTTTAGTGGTTTTGTCAGGAAGTACCTAGGTGCTGTTTTGTTGAAGAACTTCCAGACACCTCTTTGTTGACATACTATATGTCAAGGTTTTTCACTCTGGAGAGTGGTTCTTTTGAAGAAATTCAAAAGGAGACTCCAAAATAGAGTGTAACATAGAGCTATGGGAGTGTCAAGATGGCAGTGTCATTTGACAGTAAGCAAGATGAAAGAGAAAAGGGAACTGGCTCTGTTGTTTTGGTACCTAGGTGGCTGTGGTACCTGTAGTAAAGACAGGTGACTAGTTCTGTAACTGTGTGCATAGTGGCCTGTTGGAATGCCATGGAGATGTGTTTAGTATGGGCCAAGAGTTTGTCGGTGTTGCTAGTGGTTTCAGAGATGAGGAAAGTGTGGTCCTAAGAGTGAAGTGCATGTTGGGATGAGTGTACACTGACACCCTCATGACCCTAAGATTGATGGCTTCTGGGACAAAGTTCAGCTGGGTTTGGTTGTGTCTGGCAGGCACGTTCTGGACATACTTGCATAACTGCTTGGTAGGAGAGTATCCGGGACCCTTCCTGCCAGACAGAGTTTAGGCAGTGCCTCTCCTTGCACTTGCTTGGTTCTTCTGAAGGCTGGACACAGTAGGGAGAGAGACATAAGGAGACAGCAGGCACTAGCGGTGCTAAGGGCTGACCTCATCTCTGATTTGTAAATCTTGGGAAGAGACTGACCAAGGGCTGCCTACAGTTGTGTTGATCAGAAGGGGGGTGGCTTTGGGGAGATGTGCTGCCCATAGGTTCAACTGTCATGTCATTCTAGGGCCACGTGACCTTTGAGGATGTGTTCGTGTACTTTTCCCAGGAGGAATGGGAGCTTCTTGAGGAGGCTCAGCGATTCCTTTACCATGATGTGATGCTGGAGAACTTTGCACTTGTGGCTACACTGGGTAAGGCTCTTTCTTAGGTTTCTATTGCTAGTTGGTAAATTACCCAAAGTTTAATGGCTTAAAACAATAGAAATTATCTTTTAATTGCAGCACTTTAGATCTCTGGTCACAGTTTGTGTGGGTGCTTTTGGCTCAGAGCTTGCATGGTTTCATTCAAACTGTGAGCCAGAGTTGTGTCCTCTGAAGCCTGTTTTGGGAAGAGTCTACTCACAAGCTTGAGCATCATCAACTCCTTAGTAGTGGATGGCCAGAGGCCTCTCTCAGTTCCTGGTCTTGTCTTTTCAGCTAACATGTGCTTGAGTAAGTAAGCAGGAGATTGCCCAGGATGAAAGCTGAGGTTGTAGCTTAATCTTGAAAGTGACATTCCATTACTTTTTCTGCATCTTGTTTCTTAGAAATGAGTCAGACAGTGCAGTCTGTAAGTCTCTTCCCTTAGAGGCTTCTGGGAAGGATAGAGTAGGAGGTAGGATCCCTGGTGCCTGTCTTTGAGGTTACCATCCACAGGCTGCCACACTCACTCCCTTGTCCTTGGTGGGGTTCGATCCTCCCTCAGGGACAGCTGTTGGTGTCCAGCCAAATCTGTGACTCTTCCCTCCCTTCCTCTGTTTTTTCATTCTTGTGTGTGTTTCCAGTTGCCATATGTAGGACCCTAACCATGCTCCACAAATACTATTCCTTTGAACTACACTGTTACCCCTCCTTCTCTTCTTGAGTTCCCAGAGTAGGTGCTGTGAGTCTAGAGTTGGGCTGTGTGCAGTGTCCTCTCCCTTCCTGAGTAGTCCCCAGCAAACTCTCCCAAAGCCTTATAGGAAATGGTAAGGGATAATCGGATTTTTCAACATTACCAGTGGATTCTATAGAGCTTGAAGACTCACTGTCCTGGTGCCATCTTCATGGCTGACACATGTATTTCCCAGGTTTTATGCTCATTTTCTTCCTGATATCCTGGGGAATGAATGTTCGTGAGGGTTCGAGTTGCTCTGGCATCAGGCGTCTGGAGTCATAACCACCAACATTGCCCCTGCATAGCTCTAGTGTGTTTTGTTCAGTTTCTGCTCCTAGCACACTAAAACAAGCAAAATCCCTGGTGTGGTGTGTGGAGCTTTGTGACCTGACCTGGTTACTGTCAGTGTTGGGAATGTGAATGATGCGTTTGCTATTTGCTAGAGAGAAACCACATACATTTGGGCTTGGGTGAAGTCACTTTTATTCCGACCCTTATAAAAGCCCCTCTTAGGCCCGGATTACAGGGTCTTCTTGGTGGTGTTCCTGTTGCCCTCGACACAGTGTTGTAATCAAATCCCCAATAAACTGTGTTCTCTGCCCTTGCAGATGTTTCTGTGTCTCCATTCTCTCAGCACCTTGCGGCCAGTTCTCATACACTGGCAGTGGGTATTTGCAGGACAGTTAACAAATCAGACAAGAACCCAGGAAAATGGTTAAGAAGAAGGAGGCAAACAATAGTTAGAGGACATTGTGCAGTCTTGGTAGACTTATGGAAGAATTTGAAACTCCAACAATTCCAACCTTTTTTTCTCCTCCTCCTGTAGAAGATTGAGGAAGTCCTGCTCTCTAGAGTTGCTGTCAATGCTGAGTGGATTCCCTCGGGAGTGGGGCCATAGTTGCCCGAGAATAAGGAATGTAATGGGTGATCAGAGGCCTCAAATACAATACATTATTTACTGTATTTCCCCCAAAATAAGACTGGGTTTTATATTAGTTTTTTGCTCCAAAAGATGCACTAGGGCTTACTTTCAGGGGATGTCTTTTATTTTTTCCATGTACAACAATCTACATTTATTTATGTATAACTATACATTTATTTATTCATGTACAAAAATCTACATTTATTCAGGTACAATCATGTCATCTTCTGGAACATTGTCATAACTCTCCAAACCCAGATTTCCAGCCTGAATTTCTTACGACTCCATTTCCTGTAGAACCATTGGCCCTAATCTCTTATGTCCAGCAACAGAGCTCTCCTTAAATGAGCACTTTTTATCCATGTAGCCTGCTCATAGTCCATTGGCAACACAGCTGTCAGTGATTTTATCCCATGAATTCTTCACCCAAGTCATGACTTCTTGCAGGCTAAGCTTCACAAAGTTTCCATTAAGTCAAGTGTTAATGGAAGACTTCCAGGACAGGAATGCAATAAAAAAGTGATGACACTTGAGAATGATGGTCCACACAAAAGCAAGGAAAAATTGCAGGCCCCAAAATTCAGAAAGTGTTCCTTTATTTCACACAAGTGCATTAAGTAGGTCTGTTACAACACATGGCATATTGAATTATGAAGATTCTTATGAGACACAACCACATTCATTTGTTATCAGTTGTGCACATTATTCATTTGTTGTGTCTGTACTCTGGTCATTCGGCAATAAGTTTCAAGTTCATCTGTTCAGGTAGGTGTTTACCTCTCATCCAAAGGCGCCTGCTTGGGCATTTATAAATATTTAACTATAATTTATATTATTTATTTTAAGTATTAATGTCTATTAATTTATATTCAATTATATATTAATATTTTATAATTTAATACATCCATCCTATGTTGAAATGAATATACTAAATGCATCCATCTGCCTGATGATTTTAACTGGGGCTTATTTTTGGGATAGGGCTTATATTACAAACATCCTGAAAAAAATCGTGCTAGGGCTTCCTTTCCAGTTAGGTCTTATTTTGAAGAAATATGGTACTTGTTCTTCAATAACAAGAACCACAGGTGCTGAATGTGTGCTAATTCACAGCAATCCTGGGCAGTTACTGATAGATATGGGGGGTAAGGCCATCAGAGTGAAGTAAGCATTGTTGCATCTGGGAATTGGGAATACATCCCCTGTTCTACATGTGGTACTGATCTTCCTGGCCCCTGGAAACATTTTAGGGATGGTTACTCTAGTTGGAAAGACATTGTAGACCTCAGTGAGGAATTTCAGCTAATTGCCAGGTAGGAAAGGGAGTATTGAGGTCCAAAGCAAAATGGGATTCTGTTAGCCTTCATGTTCCAAGGAGGGTAGTGACTAGAAGACAGTTTAAACTGCCAGGTGGGCTTGCTGAGATTGGAGAAATGATAAAAAGAATTAGAATGGGTTGGAATTTTATGACTAGCTCAAAGTGCACCCAGTACCCTTCTCTGGCTGATGAAGAAGCCAGATGGGGCTTGGAGAATTGACTATCAACCACAGGGAGCTAAATAGAATGAAACCTCCTACTTAACATTACTCAGGTCCTGGGAAAAATTGCATCCTCTGGCTGTGTGGATGCTGCCTGGAGCTGGCTCATGTGCTTTCAGCCTTTGATCACAAACCAACTTAAACCAGCTCACCTTCCCTTGAGAGGGAGGACGGTGGACATTCCATGTTCTGTCTCAGGGAGTCTGTGTGGTCCTGCTCTCTTCTGACAGTGGTTTGGGACCTCTCTGTCCTCACTTCCAACTCCTTTTGTCTGGTCTCATTACACTGATGGTATCATGCTAACTGGTGCAGGTTGTGCCCTTAACAGGACTGACTAGACCCACTCTGCATTCAACTACACATGAGGGAGTGTGCTGTCCACCCCAACCGGACAAGAAGTTCCTTAGAGTGGTCTGGTGGTCTGGGCAAGACCCACGTGATTCCAGGGACAGTGCAAGATCAAGGGCAAACCTTCCCCATCTCCATGTGGTAAAGGGTAGACAGGCTTTTCTGTGGTCCTGAGTTATTTGCAGGCATTCATTCCTTGTCTGACTCTAGTCCATTCCCACTGTATTGGCTAATTAAGAAGAGTCACATGTAACTGGAATGGGCCTCAGCAGGAAGCATTTGAAAAGGCAAGGAGAACTATCAAAAGCCTCTTCCTCCAGCCTTGTGGGCCACCTTGAGGTGAGAGACAGCCATGTGAGCGTGCCAAGGTCAGAGCGCCTACAGTGGCATCGAGGAGCAGAGCTACCCCCAGGGCAGAGGAAGTGAACCTTCCAGGCTGCCGTACCACTGCCCCCAGCGCCCAGGAGGTGAGCCACTTGGGCGCCAGCAGCACACATCCCCCCTGCCCCCGACCCTGTTGAAATGAGAAAAGGCAAGGATTGTGAGAGCCCAGGGGTATGCTCTGGACACCTCTGTCAGGTATGCCAATGCAATTAGATGTCACCAATACCCCCAGATAGCATGTTGGGCTCTCTGGTGAAAAAGTAAGGACAAAACTTACTTCTAGGTTTATAGTCACAGCTGTAGAAGGGATCTAATGCTAGAAACACCCATTTGGATCAGTTTTGCAGTGTACAGGTGGAATATCTGACTAGTACTTTGCCAGTCACAATGCAAACTGGCCTACCTAGAAAAGGATGCATAGCCTGTTTCACCAGCCTCAGTCTACTGTGGCACAGACCCCCTACTCCAAACGAGTGGTATTGAATATATACAACAACACAGTGTCCTCTCCAGTAGCTCATTACCTCCCAAACTGATGGTATTGGCCTTGTTATCAATGAAGCTGCCACTGGGTGCCCCAGGACCTTTGGTGTCGTAAGTACAGGAGTGGGTGGCACCCACATCTAAACACTTGGTGCGCAGATGTGTCAAACAGGAGGAGCCCAAGTATCTGAAAAGTGCTGTGGTACAACTCACCTCTGCTGCCATCTGACTTGTGGGAGGAAATCCGAGCATCAGTGGGCAGGCTGTAGACAGTGTGGCTGGAATAACTCACGAGCCATGGCCAGGGCTATGCTGAAAGGTTGGCATTGAACTGGGACCTCACACTGGATGTGCAGGGGCAAGAACAGTGTCTACACTAGGAGAGCTTTTCTGGGGAGCCACAGCGTGGGGACAGATGTGGGAACCAGTGGATGAACCAGGGCTAAAAGTGACTGTCTAGCATGTGCTGCTTGGAAAGACACAGGTGGATCCTCTGCTGAGGTGCAGGCCTTGTCTCTGACCCAGGCTGTGGACAGAAAAGTGCTAATATACGTAGGGTGGGCCATACCAAGGGGCAGAATTACTCTGAAATAGAGTGGC